TGTTGTTTTATTTCTCATTTTACTGAAGTACTTTTAATAAATTTCACCACTGAGCGTGTCCTTGGCTTGTGTTCTACACTGAACTAAATTTTTATGTTCAGAAATAAATTTAAGCATCACTCAAATCTACATTGGCAGTTTCCACTTAAATTTCTGAAAGTTTATTGATATGTAAAGAGGATTTTATAGCAAATTCATGTGTCTTAGGCTATAGCATTTATCAAAACTCTACCTAATTAAATAAAATATTCCTTGAGCTATCAAGTTACTATTTCACTGTTGATAGAGAATAATAGCATCTTTAGTTTAACATTAGAATGTTTCCTAGTTATTTTGCATTTTTGTCTGGTGAGTAGAACAGTTTACACTTTACAGCAACTAATTTGTTGCAAACAAAAAAAGTCCTTCTCAGCCTCTACAAGTTCCTTTCCTTGACGAGAGATCTTCACCCTGAGCAGAGAAAGAACAGGCCCTCATGGTTTTCAGGTGAGAGGCCCACCAGATTAACGCTAGTGTTTCTGCAGAACTCAGCACTGAAATGTTATTTTTCAAACCTAAGGGGCTTTGCGTGCTGTTTGCATTTTTTTTTTACCAGTGTCTGGAGGAGTGTGAGTGTATTCCTTGGACCCACTGGGCTTTATTTTCTTTGAACAGGTGCCTCATTGCAAGCTGTACACAAACCCCACACAAAGGCACACGCCATTAAAGTTCAGAAGTTGAAGTAAAGTTTATCTAGAATGAAGTAAATAAATGAACAAACAAAATTAGAGGCAGATATTTATCAGAGAGCTGAAACTTTGGACAAAGTTCTCTCCCCCCACCCTACCCCGCCCTATCGTTTCCCCACTTCTGTGGTTACAGTGGTTAAGAGTGCAGCTGGGGAGGTAACTGTGGATGGGGAGGGCAACTGACTCCTTCCACGTGGGTGCACATGTGCAGTCTCTCAGGGATGCAGTGTCTGCCTCTGTCTGAGCATCCCTCCCTGGCAATCTTCTCTCCTCAATGGCCATGAGGGAGCACATAAACAGATGCGACGTCATTCACCAATACATGGATTCATTCACTCTGCATTTATGATTGCATGTTTTCTAGATTTTAGCAAACTGCATAAACCTCCGTATGTTGTAGTCCTCTGTGCTTAAAAGCCCTAAGGGGAATCAGACAAATCAGGTAATTGCAAGTCAGTGTGCGGACATTAGGGGTAAGTAGAAGGTGTATTAGGATTCCTCCATAAACCCAGATACATACATGAAATTCATTACGCCACACTCCTGCTAGGTACCCCCACTCCCTTCAGACTAAATCAAAGCTCCTTAGGTTGACATGGCAAGAGCTGAACCATTGGCCCCCACCAGTTCCACCAAGTGTCGTCTCAGCCACCTTTTGGCAGACCCTCTGGACTGGGAATGCTAAGCAGATGCCGCAGATGGTGTCCACTGAGCCTCCTGCCAATGACACAGCACTCTCCATTTTCGCTGTGACATTCACTGACACCCACTTGGCACTTGGTTGCTGGATGGCTATTGCCTTGTGTGTCCTGCATCCAGCAAACGAGACACGAACTCAGCCAAGTCAGCTGTGTATGTTGCATACTCGTGCAGGCCAGCTGCCCTTGTTATTGTAATTACATTACGCAAGCTGATGAATTGTGAGCACGTGAGGGACGACTGAGGTTGATCTATGAGAGTGACTTTCCGTGGTTTGAAAGGACTTGAAAAAAACATGTTGAAAGAATTCTGCTAGCATAGGGTTGGAAAAGTGATGGTAAAAGATAGGGGTGGGGTACCTTTAAAAGTTAGGCAACTGCACTTAAGTTATTTTGAAAGATTTTTTTCCATTTTAAAGACAGCGGAATCAGAAAGGGCAGATGATGTGATATGGTGTGTGTTACCGAAGAAAGACAACATGAAACAACAATCAGTGACCTCTCACTCGAAGGAATAGCCTTGGCCTTGTAACAGAAGAGTGGTGAATGGGGAGTGGGCATACAGACATGTTTTTAATTAAAATAAAGTGTTACAGGCAGACACAGATTATTTTTGTGAAAGCACCCCGTGTCTGACTTTCAGGAGCAACCATCAACACGCTACTGTTTCTAACTGAGACAGACAAGGAGACAACACCCCGTGTATTTGTAACTCCCCAAACATCCCATCCTCTGTCCCAGCCCCCTGACATTGAACGCGCTGTCCCTTCTGCTTGGAATGTCCTCTTTGCACTCTGGGCTCCTCCATCTGGCGCACACCTATTGACTCTGCGCTACCACATTAGGTGTGACTTCCTTCAAATTACCCTCCTTGGAGCTTCTTCCCTAAGGCATCCGCGCGCACGTGTGTGTGTGTGTGTGTATCTCACCCAGCACCAGACTCTCCCTTTATTTGGGGAACACCCATTGCAGAAGAGGCTCCCTATTGCTGCTGAGAGTCTGCTCTAGGGCCGGTGGTGGCAGTGGTGGTGGCTGTGCTCAGTTCCCAGAGGTGCCAGTCGGAGACAAAAGAGGTGGCTCTGTGGCCAGCACATTTGGTTCTTTGACCCCCACCCCCCAGATACTCTGTGAATCTTCTATAGCCTTCAATCAATTCCTTTTCTGCTCAAATTCGCCACATTGGTTTTTACCACTTAAAGTTAAGAATCCAGGTGGTCCTTTGTCTTAAAGTAGTCATGTGACATTGTAATGGTTGCTGTGTGTCATTGTCCCTGTGTAATTGTGAGCTGGGACCATCCCATCTCATCTGTAACCCAGTGCCCAGCACAGCAGAAAGTAATGTACAGCAGATTTTCAACGAATTCCTGTTAATTCCTTAATCTGATAATTAATCATTTAATTGACGAAAGAGTTTCCTCTGAAAATCCAAACCCGTGTAAGGACAGTGGATGACATTACCAGAATGTTCCCAGTGGCTGCGAGAGCTGCGGCCCATCGTAGGTGTCCCTCCATCCACATGTCTCACGGCAGACAAGCACAGTCACAGAGAGTTTCATAGCATTTAATTAAATATGAGATGGTAACATATTGAATAGTTACATACTTAGCAGCTCTGCAAAATGTCTGTAATGCATGTGGAAAGTACATCGTCAAATCAGAAACGTTGACTGTAGTGAACAACGGATATCTTTGAGACTGACCCCCCAAAACCATCAAGCCGGCAGAAATGCCATCTCAGCTGTATCGTTCCAATTGGCCATCTCCCTGCCTAGTCCTGTGTGGAAGCCCCTGGAGTAATGCTATGAAAACACAAGTACATGCCTCTGAGACAGCCCATACTCGGCTTTCTGAAGCAATTTCCCGTGGAAACCAGGCTACCAGGAGAGGCAAAGGCTGGTGAGAAATCAATCAAATAAGCCAGGGCTTCCTAGGTTCAGATGTGGTCATTTAGCCGATCACCTTTAGCTGTCTGCTTACTGGTCTTCTTTTCATCTCGTGCTGTATGGAGCCAGCAGTTTTCATCTCTGGCTTCTATCTTATCTCTGACCAAAGAGTTTTCCTGCTTGATAAAATCCAATGTGTGGTTGATCAGAGAAAATTTGTAACCTTACATTATACATTGTCGCTGAGTAGATGATCAAGCATTAGCAGCAATTATAATTGTGTTACATGGATTTTAAATGCTTCCAGTAACAGACACACACTAAATTCAAATGATAACCTATGCAAAAGAATACTTACATAGAAGACTCTGAAGCTGGAGGGACTTTGACTTTTCTCCTCATTTCTTTAAGAGATTGTCTATTTTTTCAGGGATACAAACTTAGGGCTTCTAGTCCTGACTTAACATGGAAGGCTGAGTACTTAGCCTATCTTCTCTGTGTCTCAGTTTTTCCAAAAATCGAAGACAATGACAACAAACACTTCAGGAGCCTCTCTGAATAAGCTACAAGAGGCCCAGGTTGGGATGAGATTTTCTGGGTTGACTTCCTTCTTGAGGTCCCCTTGGCTCTCCTTTCCACAAAGGGGAAAGAGCACAAGCCCACCCGTATGTCACCTTGGTGGTCTCTTCCCTGTCTCCACCAGAGCACTTTGAACATGCCTCCATTGTAGCATTTCATATTATTATAATCATTTATTCACAAAGCTGCCACCTTCATTAAGGTTTTCACTGAGTGAGGGATGGGTCCCAACCTTGCTCGTCTTATGTCTCCTGTTCCTACCACTGCGGTTTGCACAAAGCAGGCTTTTCATAAATGCTTGTCAAGGAAATGAAAGAGGTAATGCTTATGGAACTGCTTTGAAAATCACAAGCATGAAGCAAATCTAAGGGATTATAGGACTATATTCATTACTACTGATGCGGAGACATTACTATGGATTCAGAGAGGAGGACTTGGAAAGTATAACCCAAGTGAAGAATAAGATGATGTGAGTACTGTTAGTCTCTAAAGCAGCAGGTGAGGTCTATTAGTCCACTACATCAACTCCCTTCACAGGCATTATGGAATAAACCAACAAAAAAACCCAAGAAAATTAAAGAGTCTCCTCCAAAACAAACTAAAATCAAAACAAAGAAAAAAATGCAAGACATAAACAGCAGTAATGACAACAAGCTGCTCCAAAACCTTGAACGTGTGCTCATCTTTACTGCTCTGTGTGGCACATGCTTGTTATAACTGCGTCTCCCTAAAGTTTGTGGCGACGTCTACAGCTGGAGAGCTCGGGATGATTGGTGGATGGACTTGGGTTGGGGCCTTCTCTGCGCACACAGAACGGCAGCTCCCTGTTCATTGTTCACTTGGGCCAGTGACCGCAGTGGGCAGCAGATTGGCCTTCCATCCACGGGGGCAGCTGGGTGTGGAAGCAAGGCGCCTGTGTTCTTGATAGCCAACAGTCAAAATCCTGGGCTCCTGGTTTGTCCCCACTTGAACGGTTTTCAGAAAAACGAAATGAAATGTCTTCATGGCATTTTGGCGCTTCCTTCACTTTCTGTAGACATGGTGGGCAGTGCGCGGTCTCACCTGACACATTGTGAGACCATTTCTCCCCGACTTTCCCCATAGCTCCCCATAGCTTTTGTCTGAGACACTTCCAGTTTATGCTTACCATCCTGGGGTAATCATTTATAAATTCTCCCTTCACTTTCAAAAGAGACTTAGTATGGACATGAAGTATATGGTCACCCTGTTTTCAGCAAGGTTTGGCACCCGAGAATGGGGCAGTCCCTGGTGAAGAGGAAGGCCCATGGCTCTGGGGAGACTGCTTGTAGACTCTCGAGCATCAAGTCTTGAGTGGGAAACGTGGACAAGTTACTTTAAACCCCAGTTTCATCATCTATAACAAAAACATTGAGAGGAGAATAATGGCTGCCATCTCCCAGAATTATTGTGAGGATTCAGGGAGACCAGCCGAGCCCTGACTCAGTGTTGCACATACAGCAAACTCCAGTGATAGTGGCTCTCCTTCTTGTCCTCCTCTCATTTCTTCCTTGCTCTCTTCTTGCCATCCTCGTCCCTTCACCTCCACCTTTCCCCTCACCCTTTTTGTGCTCTTTTCAGCTTTGCAAACTTTCTGAAATAATTGAATCATTTGGATCACCTGAAGCAGAATGTTCCTGCCTTGTGCTGAAAGTGGGGACGGGGGAGGACAGCAGCGTTTCAGAATCCCGCGGGTTGTGGAGTCGCATTAGTTTGTCTTTTTTGTGCTGTGAGGGGACGTAGGCACTCACGTTTATTCCAGGCCTGGTTTCTGGAATAAAACAGTTTACTGGTTTTGGTAGAAGCTGGACATTGTGACATATGCTTCTTCTTGATTTGATCCCAAGGAAGTGAGGAGGGGCTGTCCCTGGGCAGCTGGGTTCAATGTCACGATTTTTGATTGGAAAGGAAATGGAGGGAGCAGGGTGACATTTGGAGGTCCAGAACCCAGCAGCAGGCCCTGGTACACAGGAGGCCCATTCTTGCCCCCTTCCCTGCAGTCTGGAGACCTGGAGGAGGGGAGCACAGGGGTGTCACACACACTGACATTCCCAGCCAGGCACCCGAGGGGTGCATCTCCTCTGCAGGTTTTGGGGGCAATGATTACATGCTCAGATGGCCAGTGGGGGCTCTGCACACCCCCTCCAAGCCTTTGCTTCTCAGATTCCTCTTCTTGCAGAGGAAATGTGTCCTGCAGAAAGCCTTCCACTTCGTCTCTAGCTTGAATGCCATCCACCTTATGAATCTGGCAGTCCAGGAAACTTTCGGGATTGAAACTCACATTTAGGTTCTGCGTGAAAACAGAGAGGAGGTGTGAGGAATGCACCACTGCGTGTTCTGTCCAGGAGAGGACCTGAAGGACTTGTGAAGGGCACTCACTGGGGACTGTCAGGGCTGGATCCTGATGTTTTGGCAGCCTCATTGCTTTGGGAGGTGCTCTGACCCCTCAGGATCTGAAATAACCCCTGGAGGTACCCTCCAGCCCTGGGGAGGCCTGGAAAATTCTGAAACTTACATCTCATTTCAGTTTCCTACCTCTAGAAGCTGCCACTAGAATCTTATGAAAGACCCTGGTTTGGGAATGAAAAAAAAAAACCCACCCAAAACTTGAGGTTCAACTACTCCTTCTCATCCAATATCATCCTTGGCTATTACGATGCCTCCAACCCACCTTTTTTGGTTTCTTGCACAGTTGCTCCAGAGTCTTCTTATGATCTGGGAGGCTGGGCCATACAATCGGCTTAATTCTGAAATAGGAAGACACGGGTAGATGAACAGGATGGCACAGGCAGAAGGCTCCATAGGTACTTGCACCTACCCTGCGTCAGAACTCGGAAGAGTGGATTTCTAGTCCTGGCTGTGCCACAGCTACGTGGACCACCCTGGGCAAGTGACTTGCTTCATCTGGGCCCCAGTGTCCTACCAAGCCAAGCAGGAGTTGGACCAGAGATTGTTTTCAGTAACCTGCTCTTTGAACAAGATACAGGGATGATACACCTTTGGGAAAGACCCCGGGAAAAAGGAATGATGAGGCGTGGCCGTGAAGTGGTTTGGTATAGTTATGAAGCTACAATTGGACATGCTCATCTCTTCCCTATATATATATGTTGTCATCTTATTCCTTCTCTTTAGTGACAGCAACCCCTTCTTTCTCGCTTTTGGAGACGTGAGGAATATTTTCTAAATTACCCAGAGAAATGGTTTAAGATGGTGTTTTTCACATTGGAGTGTTTGCATTTTTTGTGGTACATGGCCCTGTGCTGAGGGCGTCTCCTACAGCATTAATACCTTGACTGGTCAGTATCTAAAACATCATTTTAGAATGAAAGAAACACGGCCTTATCATAGGTGGAATGCAAAAGTCCCATGAATGTTGCTACAAGTCAGGACTTTAAATATATTCTGCATTTCCCGTGGGTGCCCCTAGTAGCCCAGGACTTTTGGAGGCATGGCTCCGACTCCTTTAGTAGAAAAAGTTGGGGGGAGCATTGACCTGATATGCAGTTTATACATCTCACCTCTTAGGAAACTAACTAGGAAATTCACGAATGCCTGAGGATGAGGAGGGTGTGAGGCACTGTAATTCCTGAAATGCCTTGTTCTCCCCTATAGCTTTCTCATCAATAAGTAGGGTCAGAGCTCTGACTGCCTGAGATCCCACACGACCACCCTTTTGATGAAGGAAATTCACCTTTTCTTCCATAACACACAGGCCAAGATGACCATCAGAGCCACAGAGAAGAAACTCAAAGTGCTGACTATTAGCAGAATGGGGTCCATCTTCCCTGGAATACAAGGATGGTCCCGGGTTAGCAATCTTTTTTTTTATTTAAATTTTTTATTTTATTTACTTATCTTTAGAGGGGAAGGGAAGGAGAAAGGGAGAGAAACATCAATGTATGGTTGCCTCTCATGCATACCCTTCTGGGAACTGGCCTGCAACCCAGGCATGTGCCCTGACTAGGAATCGAACCACGATACTCTGGTTCGCAGGCCCGCGCTCAATCCACTGAGCTACGCCAGCCAGGGCTCCGGGTTAGCAATCTTAAATGAAGTGTGCTGCAGAAAAGACTTCAGGATGAGTTTGCTTAGTAACTCAGGTTCATTCGCTATTTCTTGAAAATGGCTCTTCAGTGAACTAGGATGATTTCATGGCTTTATGGGGAAATTTTGGCTGAAGTGGCACTGACTTAGGTGACCAGGTCCAGACCATCTGTCATTTGAGATGTAAATGTGACCTAGCATTGAAGATACCGGCACTCCCTCCCCACTTACATCACCAGGAGAAAGAAGCCAAGTTGGGGGGGGGTGAGGGGGATAAATGTTCTCCCCCTGCAGTCTCAGCCATTTCTAGGGGGACGATGAGAGGTTAGTATGGCCAATCAGTCCTCTTTTTTCCCCAAAGGGGAGGTATATGTGCAATGCTTCAGGTCCCCGGGTGCCTACTTGAGCCATGCCCTTTGGCTCTTCTGGACACTCTCATTTCCTAGACCAACAGGGTATCTTCATTATTCTGGAAAGAGGGGCATGGGAGAGCCACATCAGACTGCCAGCCTGCCATCAACAAAGATGTTCCTTAGGGGGGCCTTGGAGATCCCTGTGTGATTGGTAAACTGGAGGTAGTGGGTGGGGATTTGGGTCAGAATTATTAGCAGTTCCCAGGAGCACCCAGGACAGTCGAGTCCAGATAGTCTCTACGAGCTGATCAGCAACTGGGGGTCTGACTCCCAGCACTTCCTGGTTCTTCACAAAAAGGGCAAAGATGGCAGGTCTTCTGCAAAGTGTAAGAAAGCCCTCTGGGGAGCCATCTTTCTCACTCTCACTCACACACTTGGACCACCGAAGCTCTGGGTGGGGCCCAGAGACGGTGTCCGCTTCTTACCTTGGCCGTTGGTGTCTGGAGTTCGGAAGCGGAAACTTGGACTCCATTCACTCCAGAAGCCTTTAAAATAGTCGGTGTCGGGGATGGACCGGACTTTAATCTCATACATTGCATTGGGTTGCAGCTTTCTCTGTAGGAGTGTCAGCCTTGTACTGGATAAATTCACATGCTGAAGAGCAAAAAGTGCCATTACAGTTTTAGGATGAAAAAAGGGGTACTCCCAGATCTCCCAGGTCATTGAAGTTGAGCGTCTTTTGTCCTGTGGACATTTGCTGCAAGTCCTCTTGTATTTGTTACAAGGAGAAACTCTAATACTTGGAGGGGTCAGCTGCAAATTTTGGGACAGAGACTATGAGCTCGTAAACGAGGCCACAGATGGCGAAGGAGGGCAGTGGCATGATGGGTCTTTATTCAGGTGAGTTGGGCTCTCCCACTTTGGGAGGATGTAAATCACTCCCCCACTCCCACCTCTCCTCCTACCCTTCCATCTCTTCTTTCTCTTTTTCTCTCCTTTCACAACCCAAGAAGAGATGAAAAGGAATGGCCAGGTTAATGAGCAAAAGTCATTTCCCTCCAGAAGTATATTTCTACTTTCCTCTTTTCTTTTATCCATTCGGCTGCTCTCACCACTTCCATTAATCAGAGGTGGCTATGACTTGGTGATGGCCTTGATCTGCCTGTGAAAGTTGTGCTCACGTGGGTTACCTCTTGAGGTCCCCAAATAAAGAGGATTGATTTAGTCTTGACTTGTATTGTTAGCCCACAGCCTAAGTTAGAGACACCATAAAAACAACAACAAAAAAGAGCAAGAAAAAAAAAAACAGAGTTAGAAGAGGAATGGGTGGGCTTGAGGAGACCCAGGTTTTATAGAACCTGAAACATTTATTCTTAGAGCTTCTTTCAGTAAAAGGTACATTTTGAGCATAAAATTGCTAAGGGACCTTCCCAGGTACCTGTACCTCTAGAACAATAAAATATGTAACATTATGAAGTTGCTATTTTATAGTTTTATACATTTATACATTTTAATGTATATGTGTAACTTACTTATTAAATATATATAGACACACACCTTTATAAATTTCATAATCTATAAATCTAGTTGACTCACCATCCAATCAGCTGCATCTTTTTCCTGGCGGTAGGCTATCTCATGTATTAAATTTTTTACATAATTCTTTCGCAAGTGCGATGTATTAAATGTCACCACGAAGTCATTTGCTTCCTCACGATAGACAACACATACATCATAAGGAGCCTCAGGTTTAACTGGAAAGGAAAAAGAAATGAGCTCAGCCAATATGGCATTTAAGAAAATAATTATAATGTTTAAAGTTCATTTGCCCTGGAAATCCCATTTTTGTTCAGAAAGTTATCTCTTCTTTTTCCAGGTTTGAGCCCTGACTATGTTTCCCAGCCTCCCTTGCAGTTGGGTGTGGTCTAGTGAGCAGTGTGAGCAGAAGTGAGATGCATTACTTCCTGTCCTGGCCCACAAACCTTACAGTGTGACCCCAGGCTTGCTTCCCTTCCACCTCTTGGAGTCATACATTGATGACAGTGGAGCCACAAGATGAAGGGGCCTAGAATGTGGCTTGGAAGACTGCCACATTCTAGAAATACCTATTTCACCCTTAGGAGAACAATAAATACATTTAATGATGTTTGAGACACCCTATGTTTTGGGGCTTATTTGTTACAGCAGCTAGTGCTAATTTTATACAAAAACACGTCTTCACTTTTTGAATACTTGTTATTAGCTAGCTCCAAAACAGAGTGGTTATCTTCGAGTCTTCATTATTCCTATTAAGATCAGGCAACAAACTTGCACCTCATTTGGACTATAGGGAACTTGAGGGTTGGCATCCTGGCCCTGGCTGGGATCTTCCAGGGTGACCTCAGACTGTCTCCCGCTTCAACCTCACTTGCATTTGCTCCAACCTCCTCTCTGGCCTCTTCCTTCTGCCTCCCTGCCTCACATGGTTGCTGTTAGGATCACAAGCATCTTATACAAAATGCTATTGGAGGGAGATAGGTATTGGTTCAGGCAGAGCAAACCCTGAAAAAGGCATTGAATTCCTAGAAGAGCGGGTATGTCAGGCTCCCTGCCACTGTGACTGTGACCGGAGCCTTCCCTGTCTTGGCCTCTTAGCTGCTCCTTCACCAAGGCCTGCGAGGTTGGTAGTTATCTAGGAATGGGGCCGCAACTTTCCTGCCTGGCTGACCTCAGACAGAGATGGGAAGACACATGGGTTAAAATCTAACCTAAACCTATGGTTAACTAGGGAATCCAACTTTCACTCAGTAGGCTGAGCTGATTCGGGGCCATCTGAGCTGGACTTGAAGACTGACTTGCTGGCCCAGTAAAACCGACTTATGTGGTGGAGTTTGGCCCACATGTTATCATTGGCTTCTCATAGTGGTGACTGCCCAAGTGTCTCCTGTGTTGCTCCAGAGGTCCTATAAGAGAGGAAGTGGCTCATTCTTTACCCTGGGATGTTTCATGAAAGGGGAAGTTGATTCCTTAGAATCACCAGATACAGAGACGATGCTCTAAAGGGAAGTAGCAGGAAAGGGACGGCTATAGACAAATAGGCCAACAGAGAATACTGTCAACCCTTTCTCACCGGCCATGCCACGTCTTGCCCTTTCTTCAAGGGAATAATTAAGAATTGCATTCTCAACAAAACCTCTGGCACTGAAGTTTTGTTCTATCCCCATTTTCCAAGGAAGATAAAGGAAGAATTAAGGGAAGACCAGAATAATAGTGATTATATACCTTCTAAGGCCAAGTGCTTTACTTACGCTGTCTGCCATCAACACTCATTTATGGCCACTATACTGATGAGGAAATTGAGTCTCAGAGAGGTTGGTTAGTTTTTATTCAGGCCCCTGTGGGATGGTTTAAGAGGATTTAAATGCAATTCTGTCTGATCTGAGGCTCGCTCTTCTTCGTTTAGCTTTTGTTTCTGGGTCCTGCTACCTCCCACTGGCCTCTTCAGGTACTCTCCCCATATGTCTGCCTCTAGCTTCATGTTGTCTCCGAGCCCATTTGAAAAAGATGCTCATTCCTCAAGCAGCATTTGAACATGTTCACTTATTCTTGCATGACATGGACAATTATATAAATTTACCCTGCCAAGAAAAGTGGGAAGGTGGGACGCTTTCCCTCCAGATCTTTGAAGAGGGGGAAGTATTAAGGAGGCACGCGGCTGCCGGGAGTGCTGGCTCCGAGGTTCCAGCAGGAGCACCCAGTTTGAATTTAATTGAATATCAGTCCTATTAGTGAAAATTCACATTAGGAATCAGAGGATGCTACTGTGAGACACACCTCCACCACGTCTCATTCTCCTTGCCCAAGGGTGCTTTCCAAAGCCCCGAGGTGCTCTCACGAGCCCCCTTTACAGGGCCCTGTGTTACCGTCTGTGTGCACACCCTGTATCTCCTCCATGCCCCTCAAACGACGATATTGGGTTTATAATCTGCAGGGGCTACAGGATGTGGACCCGTAAATGCCCTGGGTGTGTGAGATCTGGGGATTTGGATGGGGCAGGGCACCCCCTGGAGCTGTGGGTGTGTCATGCACGTTCATGCGCTCACTCTATGAAAAGCTTGCAGGCCTTGTGTGTGGAGCGGGGTTCTGGAAGAAGGGGTCTCCTCGAAGCTCCAGGACCCTGTCAGAGGACTGAGCATCTCTGCCTGCTCTGCCTGCTTTCATAGTGAATGTCGATTTGGCATGTAAATGGTAAACCGTTAGGCAGAGAGCTCCTGGGCAGTGCACACCCAGAACATCCTTCCCTAGCAGCCTAGCAGCTCACAGGGGCCAACCCAGCGAGTTCATGTCTCATACACAGAGACCCCCTGGGATGGTCGTCTCCACCCAGCACTCTCACACCTGTGCAGTCCACGTCTTCTTTCCACCAGCTCTGCTCTTTCACAAGGGAAGTATTCACACGTGGAACTTTTGATTTTACTCTGTTTTACCATCTTAGTGAAACAAAGCGGAGACTAGATCCCAAGTTTCTCTTTGCTGTCTCTGATGAGTATTGCTCTTACATTTAATTTAATTGTCAGAGGGTAAAGGTGGTGGTGGTGGGGGGACAGGTTTGAGAATTTGGAGAGATGGAGACATAGTTTTTAAAACTAGTGAAAGAATTTATATGTTCAAGTGCTTCGAAGAATTTTTCACGTATGTGTGTGGAATCTCCATAGGTAGAATACATACAAGTACTTAGTATTCCACTGCACTGATGTATCATAATTGGCTTAGACCTTCTACACCAGGGTATCTTAGGTTTTGAAAAAGAGCTTTATTGACCTCAGGGTCATAAATCTGTAAGTAAGCAAAGAAATTTTTGTGTCTAAATTCCCAATCCTTCTAATTGTTTTGATTTACTTGCCTGGTAATCAAATGGTAAATCAGTAATTAATATTGACCTAGAAGCAGCTAGTTGAATGGATCTACTGATTTGTATTATTTTTGTGTATGGATATTATATAAAGCCAAAAAACATGCAAATGAGTTTAGTAACTCAAGTTATAATTTTATTTAAATATAATGATCAATTTTAGCAAAGTATAATATATGTCTTTTAGGCCAGCTCAGATTTGGCACCGATCCTCAATGAGAAGTCTTTTAGGAAAGTGTGATGGTGACTTCATGTGTCAACATGGCAACCATTTATCTGGGCAAACATTAGCCTAAAGCTACCTTTTAAAAAAACACAGCCAACTTTAAAACAGTAGACTTTGAGTAAAACAGATTACCCTCTGTAATGTGGTAGGCTTCACCTTGTCCGATGAAGGACGTAGAAGCAAAGGCTGAGATTCCCTGAAGAAGAAGCAATTCTATCTCAAGAATGCAACATAGAAACCCTGCGTGGGCTTCCGGGCTGCCTGGTCTGCCCTGTGGAACTGGGACTCCAGTCTGCAGTCTCTACTCTAACCTCGACTTCCAGCCTTCACGCTCACTGTACAAGTTCATATCTGCCAGCCCCACAGTCCTGTGAGCCAGTGCGTGTGTATACACACCCACTGTACACACCCACTGTACACACACACACACACACACACACACACACACCCCTCCACATATCCCTTACCGTCTGCTCTGGAGAACTCTAATACAGAAGGTATGTTGACTTTTTGAAATAACTTGATTATTTAGCTAAACACACTCAGAATATAGTACATATAGGGTGAGAAGACTACAGGAAATTCAGGTGAAGGTGAGGTGAGGAACGAAAAGACATAGGTAAGTGGATGACAGGAGACCCAGTTAGACACTCCATATAGGTGACCTCTTCTATCAGTCAGTAAGTGCCCAGCACCCTCATTTCTTGATTGTGAAAACCCAGAGAACTCCCACAGGAAGAAGTAATAGCATAAGCTTAAAGTTTTTCATTTCTTTTAAAAATTGTTTGATGCATCGGTACAGACTGACAGCTGTCGGAGGGGAGGGAGGTTGGGGTGCCAGGTGGAAAAGGTGAAAAGGTTAAGTGGTGCAAATTGGTAGTTTCAGAATAGCCACAGAGAGGTGGTTTGCAGTGTGCGGAATACAGTCAATAATGTCCAGATTAGTGGGTATGGGGTCAGGTGGGTGCTTGGGGCAGCGAGGGGACCACTCTGCAGAGTGTGTGGCTTTCCGGCTACTCCTCTGTAAATCTGAAACTGTTGCAGAATGGTATTGAATGTAAACTGTGGTTGAAAAATAATATACATTTAAAAAATAAGAATTATTTGTATTAGAGAATTTGATGTCCTTTATTGCAAATGATTTTCACAATTTGTCCATTTTTGAAATGCTGACAATCCAGACACTATCCATATCTTAAGACTTCTGAAAAATGGCAACCATCCCTCCCCAATCTTCTTACCTATATGGACTATCTTCATTTTCCTGCAGGTTAAGATCCTTCCTCTAAGCTTCACACAGATCTTGCTGTCTCCAATCAGTAAGAATTTATTTGTCTTGATGAGATATGTCTCTTGCAGTTTACTGAGACTCAGGCAACTTACATCCACAAGGGACCCACTGAAAGAAAAAATGGGGTCTGTCTTAATACAAGCAGGAGTTTCTGTACACAGTGCTACGGCATCACGGTATACTTACTTGTGTGACTTCAACTCTGTCGACTGGTAACTGAGTGGGTAGATGCAGGTGAAAGAGAGAGAAACAATTAAAACAATGTGGCTTTTTGTTGCTGTTACTATCAATGATGATTTACTCAGGCATTAGATTCAACTGAACCTAAAGAAGTCAAAGCATGTTCATAAAAGTAATGGAAAATTCCTATTTTTAATAATTGATCATTGAAAAACAAATACTTTGCTTAGGTGAGAAAGTACTTGCCTTTTATGATGTTCTACAGGAATAAATGAAAGAAATAAAGCCTATAAAGGTAGGTCTTAAGAAGTCCTTAAGACCAAAAAGTGTTAAGAGAAATGATGAAATAATCTAAAGGATTACATACATAAAACCATGTCTATTTAGTGGGTAATTTAGGGATTTTCATAGGTAATTTTGACTGTGGTCTACTTTTAACTCATCAGCAGATTTTAAAACCAACCCTCTCACCATGCTCCCTACTTAACATGCAATAGAAATGCTCTGGTGATTGAATTTTGTTTCTTCTGTAACTTTCTGTTCCCAATGAAGATCAAGCTTCCAGGAAATGGAGGAAGAGAGAATGTTTCCTATCATGCAACTAACATCAAAAGCTACAAATTGTACTCTTTCAAAAACTTCCTATTAAAAAAAGTATAAGGGTTAGTTCCAGTAGTGATTCCAGTAATGGCAGAGTGACTAGTATTACACTAATCTAGTAGACAACTACGATGAACTTTGGACTATACATTTTTGAAAAGCATTGGAGAGTAACCCAAAGCAGGCAGAAACTAGAAGGAATTTTATCCTTTTAAAAAGGGTGGATAAGATCCATGTTTCTTTTTTTCCTGTTTTTTTCTTTCTTTCCAATGGCCATCCTTGAGGTACATTGTGATAGGCACCCACAATATAACAAAGAGCCACAGTTTTGTCTTAAGGAATCAGAAGGAAGAATTTTGGGGGAAATGTCTAGAAATGAGAAAAATAGAGAAATGGAAATGCTAAGTCAGCATAAAAACCCACTCCAATTATTGTATGCCTTCTTAATTATGTCTGTGTGGAGGACACTGCACAGTATCATGAGACAGCAAGGGCTATAAGGTTTTCGACAGAACTAAGCATAGATTTTAGATTCTGCCTCAAAATAGGAAGCTGGATTAATCTAGGCGAGTTAAATAACAGAGCTAAAATTAACATTCGCCAAAGTACTACAGAACCCACTCCCTCATTAGCCGTAGAATTTTTCCTACAGTCAAAAGTTATTACAAGAAAATAGAAAAATAGAGAAAGAAAAATGGCCGTTGATAGAAACTGATCCCAAGATGATTCAGATATTGGAACTAGAAGAAAAGGGACTTTAAAGCAGCTTTTATAAACATGTGTAAGGGCTAAACATAAAAGAAGGTCATGATTATTAAATGGATGTTTAGTATTAATGGAAAAGGAGAAACAATAAAAGAAAAGATGAAAATATAATAGGTACATATTTAAAAATTTGTAAAAGGTGCTGAATGTATGGGGTAGGCTCAAACAGCAGATTGAAGGTGGCAGAAAAAAGGGTCAGTGAACATGAAGATAGACCAGTAGACATTATTCAGTGTGACCTGAAAGAGAAAGTGTTGGTGGCCTGTAAGGATAAACAGGGTCCGGCAGAAGTGACGCCTGTGTGAGTGGGTGGGCAGGGTAATGATGTGGGTGTAACGATTTATAGTTTTAACTGGAACATTTCACCTAAAATGTCATATGGTGTACTCGAGTGCGGTATTATTGTTACAGAATTACGTGCTGATGATTTTGTAATAAAAGATTTTGTAATTAAAAAAGGGCATTATTGGTGCCAGATCTGTATGTAATTAGAGTTCCAAAACAAAAAAAGGAAAAAAAACTTGATTAAAAAAATTTAAAGAAATAATGTCTTCAAATTTTCCAAATGTGGCCAAAAATGAACAACTTTTGGGTTTAAGAACTCAGCAAATACAAGTGAGCAAAAAAAAAAAAAAAAAAGCCCAGCATTAAAGCTAAGCACATTGTAGTTAAATTGTTGAAGAACAAAGACAGATAGAAAACCTTGAAAGCATCCAGAGAAAAATACCACTTTTCATCAGAAACTATGAGAACCAGAAGACAGTGGAATAATATCTTTGAATCTCTGAAAGAGGAAAATTAAGATGTGCACCTTAAATTCTTATATGCACATAATATTCTTCAATAATGAAGGCCAAGTAAAAATAGTTCCAGATGAATAAAAATTGAGGTTATTTATTTTAGGAAGTTCTTTAGAGCAAAGGGAAATGATACTAGATGAAATTTCAGATCTACAGGAAGGAATTAGGGGTGCCAGAAATAGCAGCCCACTTCGGTAAATATAAAAGACAATATATATTTCCTGAAGTTCTTTAAAGACAACTGACTAATTAAAGCAAATATTATGACATTATTGTGGCATTTATAAGGTGTGTAGAAGTGAAATGTGTGGCAATAATAGTGCAAAGCATAGGACATGATAAGTGGAACTACATTGTTGAGAATTTCTTATACTTTACATGACATGGTACAATATTAGTTCTAAATAAACTGACATGATAAGGTTGAATATTGCAATCCTTAGAGTAATCACTAAAGAGAGATATTGCCCAAAAGTGAAAACAAGGAAGAAACTGGATAACTTAATAGTTCCATTTCTGTGAAAGAAATTAAATTTATTATTAATAAACTTTCCTACAAAGAAAACTCTACCTCACATGGTTATATATTTGTAAATTCTGTTAAATATATAAGAAATAGTATCGATCTTATACAAATGTTTCCTGAAAATAGAGAAGAAATGTACCTTCTTTAACTTAGTTTATGAAGTTAGCTTAACCCTAGTACCAAAACTGGCAAAAAATATTATAGAAAAGACATTTACAGATAAATGTCCCTCAAGAATGTATATGTAAAAATTCCTTCAGAAAATATTAGCACATTCATGTTAATACTTAATTCAAAAGTAGGATATACCCCAGAACATCAAGATAGGTTCAACAATTAAAGATCAATCAATATAATTCAAATTAACAGAATGAAAGATATAAACAACCTGGCCATCTCAAGTGATGCAGATTAAGTGTTTGACATCCATTTATAATAAAAACTCTCAGCAGATAATTAGGAGGACATTTTCCTAACCTAGCAAAGGGAATTTACAAAAAGTCTGCAGTTAATATACTGAATGGCGAAATTGTGAATATTTTCACCTAAGATAAAGACAAGACAGGAAAACCTCACCGTTTATACTCACCGATGTGCTGGACACTCTAGCCAGCTCTAGGCAACAGAAACAAATAGAAGGCACCCAAATTGGAAAGGAAGAACCACATGTTTGTTTACATGGAGAATCATATTCTCCAATACAATTACAGTAAATAATAAAGTGAATTCATCAAGGTCGTTACACAAAAGTCAGTTAAATTTCTATAGGCTAGTATCAAACAGTTAGAAAAATAACTTAAAAAACAACAGCTCAGTGGGTGCAATAGAAACATAAAATGCATAGAAATAAAATGAATAACAGGTGTTGAAGGTCTTTGCAATGGAAATTATAAAACATTCCTGAGAGCTATTAAAGAGAATCTAAATAAATGGAGAGCTATGTTTGTGAATTAGCAAATTCAGTAATGAAAAGACAGAAAAATTCCCCCAATTGGCATATAACATATTAATCCAAATCTCAGTAAGTCAGTAAAAAAATGACAAGCTGATTCTGAAATTTATGTGGAAATTCAAAGAATAGCCAAAACAACACTGAAAAAAGTAGAATAAATATGATTCACAGCGCTTGATTTTAAATGTGTAATAAAGCTGTGATAATCAGGACAGTTTAGCACCGACACAAGATAGATAAACTGATGAGTAAAAAGCATATAGTTTGGAAATAGACTCACACATATAAGGTTAATCGGTTTTAAATACAAGCATCCAGTCAACTCAATGGGAAAGAGAAAACCTTTGTAGCAAATTATCTTAGAACAATGGAGCAAATGTATGGAAGATATAAATCTTAATCTTATACAAAATTAATTAGATACAGATTGTGGATCTACATATAAAGTCTAGAACTATAAAATATTTAGAAAAAAACATGGGGAAATATCTTTCTAAATTTGGTAATAAGAAAGATAGTAATGACACAAAAAGAAACATAAAAGAGAAAAATAGAGATTATTTTGGACTTCATCAAAACTGAAAACCTCCTGCTCATTAAAATACACCACTATGAAAATGGAAGGCAAGTTACAGACTGAAAGAAAATAACATTGATGCCTGTATCTGACACACAAGTTGCATCCAGAACGTATAAAGAATTTACACCCACCTATAATAAAAGGACAAATAACTCAATAAAAAAGGGGAATTTGCCTCCCAAAAGACATACAAATGATCAAGAAGTATGTGAAAAGATGGTCAACATTATTTGTTATTTGAGAAATGTAAATAAAAACAACTGGACACTATTTCAAAGCCCAATGTTAGAAATGAATGTAGCTCATGCACTGTGGGCAGGAGGTAGAATGGTACAGCCACTTTGGGGACCTGCTGGGCAGTTTCTTATAAAGTGAAGCGCACACCTACCCACGTCATCACACAGCAATTCCACTCTGCGGTTTTTACTGCAGAGAAACACAAATGTGTATGGACAAACAGATCTGTACAAAAATGTTAATAACAACTTAAAAATAATCGTCTCAAAGTACCTAAATCTCAAATGCCCATCAAGAGGAGAAAGGATTAAGACTTGTGATATATTCATACAGTGGAATTAATACCCAGCAATTGAAAAGATGAGTTACGAGACATGCATCGACATGGATAATCTCAAAAACATTGTGTGAGGAAGAAGTGAGTCAGAAAAGAGTGAACAGTGTGTTATTCCATTTATAAGAGCTGCCAGAAAGTGGCAAAACCAGAGTGGTGGAATTCAGAACTGTGATTGCTCTCTCGGGGGGCGGGGGCGGGTGAGGAGGTACTAGAAGGGGACCTGGGGCACCTAGGGAACC